ATGTAGCCGACATCCTCATTCTGGCTGACCTGCACAGCGCAGAGCAGCTGAAAGCACAAGCCATAGACTTCATTAATAGGCAAGTACACACTCTCAGTTCATAATCATTTCATCTTTAAAAAATCCTTTGCACACTTTAAAGTTTAAGTGTTCAGTAAACATGAATAGTACTGTATTTACTTTGCAAATATTTGCAAATTTAATGGCTCACAAGTTTAACGAGGCTGTCTTAAAATGATGCATGATTGGAGAATTTAGAGCGGAAATGCAATACTTGTAAAAAAAATAATCCTCATCAATGTTGAAGGGTTTAAAAAAGTGTGAAGGGCGGTGGATTATCTAAAATGGACCAAAATATTTAACACGTTAAATATTTGAAATATAATTAATGATGATAAATAACAACAATAATAAACATGTTATTATGATATTCCTTCAAAAATATTTTTTGGCTTATTAATATTAATGTCTTTCTTCAGAGAAATCATACATTTTATTGTGTGATCCCAATTTCACTTTGAATAAATGATTAACTGATTAAAAGCAAAGAGCAACTAGGCCTATATTAACTGCAATATTTGTATGACAGTAAATCACCTGCTAAATCCTATTTTTGTCGTAATGATGACAGCCGTAGCTGCAGTGCATTCTGGGAGCTCTGTGTGAATTCTGCTCTGTGCTTTTTCTTTAGATGCAGTGTTCTTAGACAGCTGGGCTGTAAAGATGGGAAGAACTGGAATAGCAAGTATGTGTGCCAACACGTTACCATCTCCCAGAGTCTTTACAAATAAAAAGCACCCAACACATCTGTATATAGCAGGAAGCTCCAGTTTGCACAGTAATTATGTGACTAAGATACCTGTAAAAACCAAATGATTCACAGCCTTTTTCTTGAGTGACCTTGCACAAAAACGCATGACAACTCTTTTAGTATTGCACTTTTGAAAGGAATAATCTGGGTTCAGTGATATCTAAGCGCTATCAACAGCATCTGTGGCATACTTTTTTTTTTATTACCATGCGAAATACCCACAGGAATTACTTTGGTAACCCATAACCAGAAGTTCGACCGCTTGTAACGGTAATCTCACCACTCAGACAACATTACAGCTTAAATAAAACAAACTAAAGCAGTAAGCCATAGGGAGCTAGTCTATTACAGTGAATTCAGCATTTTCCCCCAAAAACATTTTTTTCTTTTCAGGTATGCATTTATTTATTTGACACAACTGTTCAAAAGATTGGTGTCAGTAAGATTTTTTAATGTCTTTGAAAGAAGTCTCTGGTGTCATTTCTTTTGATAAAAAATACATTAAAGCAATTTTAAAATGACTTGTTTTGTGTTTTAAAATCTGTGTTAAACTGTTGTGCTGATTAATTTCAGGACAAAAATTCAGGATTCTTTGATGAATAGAAAGTTAAAGGAACAAAATTAATTTGAAACACTATAAGTCTCTTTGCACGTCCCTTTTTATTCATTTAATGCATCCTTGCAAAAAAAAAAACGTATTAATAAAATGACCTCAAACTTTATATGAAGTAAATATATATATATATATTGTTTTTAAATGTATTTATATTCTTCTGATCATTTTGCACCATTACTGTACTGCAGATGTGCGCATGCCACAGATGCTGGGGATAGAGCTTAACTTGTTTTGAACCCAGAACATTCCTTTTAATTAGCATGATTTCACTGAATTAATAAAAATCCCAGATTATTTGTACTCGTTTCATCTGTGTATGATGAATGTTTTTGTTTTTGCTCTTTTGCAGTCACGCTGCAGACATAATGGAGACTGCCGGTTGGAAAGCGATGATTCAGTCCCATCCTCATTTAGTGGCCGAGGCGTTCCGCGCTCTCGCATCAGCCCAGTGCACCCCTTTTGGTCTGCCAAGGAAACGGCTAAAACAGTCCTGACCTTTGCCCTCAGACTGCTTAGAACAAAACGCATGAAGAGGCGGAACTACTACCCCACCGAGCCCTACTTCCCTCCTCCTTTTTGCCCCCCTCTTCACTCTCCCGTCACCCTTACCAGAGACACGATGGAGGAGCTAGTTCAAACCGCAGTGCTCATGAAGAAAATGGACTTCGCCATGCTGTTCACTTTGGGCGTCATTTGAGAAATGGCCTTAAAGGATCCGCCCCTCCACTCCTCCTATGTGTAGCTACGTGCCTGCTGCGACTGATCCCAGACCTGTCTGAATTGCACTAGCTCCCACATAACGCAGTAGTTTTAACATGGTGGTGTTTAGGACCTTGTATGTTACATGTTCATGATGGGGGGAGGGTTGCGTTAGCCCTTCTTATGAACTCGTGGTCTGACGTTTCAAAAAACCAAGTATACACTCACTAAACGCATACCCATGCACACGCATCAAGTGCAAAGATCGTCTCCACTGACACTTTTTAAGTGATGATGTTTCCTATATTGCTGGCAGAATGTCACATTGTATGTTTATCATCATTAAAATTGGCGCAAGTATTAACTGAGGTCGTGCTGTAGAATACTTGGTGAAATGTGATGCAATTCACATTATGAGTATTACATGAAAACGGCTAAAGATGTCGATATTTTGCACCAACCTAAACTATTGGTAAATATGAAAATTTGTTTACCACCGTGCTGTTTACAAAAATTGTTTTCCCTTTTTCGCACAGTTAGTTCTGACTTTAGTTGAAGTTTTTTTTCCCCATGGTTTAACGTACTCTATGGATCAGGAGAGTTCTTTGTGTTGGAAAAAGTGTATTGTGGTTCAAATTAACTTTGATTTATTGCTTTGGAAATAAAATGGAGAAAAAACAGATCCAATGTGTACCTTTTTTTTTTTTTTACAAAGCACAGTTTTTAAAGTCAACATTAATTCTGAATTGAGCTAATTTCTCAAATCATGTCCATGGTCTTATTTTGAAAAAATGTCCTCTCCTGTTCCTTATTCATATTCTTTTATCAGCTGGTCAAGTAGAGATCTGTTTTCATTACCCATAATAAAAAAATGGCAAATAACAAAAGAATCATGTTGACTTTAAAATTTAAAATTGTGCTTTTAATACTTTGTTCAGCTAAATGTTTTGAGATTTAATTTTTTTTGGTGATTGTATTAATCTCCCCTGCATGAAAGACATTTCAAATATATATCTCAGATAACTTTAGATATTCTTCACTTTTTAATTTATTTATACTTTTAATTTTATTCGCATGTTTTTGTTTTTTTATTGGCTCTTTTTACCAGTTAATCACATGATGCTATTGAAATTAATTTAACCATGTACAACCTCAGGCTGGGTCCCTCTTTTAATATATATATATATATATTTTGTCAATTAGAATTGAAAGCGTCGAATGAGATATAATGCAAATGGGGGACAAAGCTGTAATACGTCAGATGATCATATTTAAGAAAAAAAAGTGATCAATTATTTTAGGAGTTTGTCCCAATTGTAGTATTTGTAAAATAATTATAATTGAATTAGAGAAAACCAGTAAAACCCACCTGTCAAACACTGTGTAGAGCTGTACACGCCTTATGGTTCATCTCTAATGGACACTAGCATGTTGTAAACCATGTCCATATTCACTTTGGTCTGTGGCTTCAAAAGTCATTTGAATGAACTTTTTAAAATCTTCCCTTCTTTTAGTCTTTAAACATCTGGAGACAACTTAAGCTGAGATCAAAGCCAGCGCGCCTCAAATCCTGAAAGGCCCTGTTCATCAGGCCATGCGATTACAAAAACTCACACTGACGACGTTGCGTATATTTTTTCAGATCAGAGTCTGCATATATGATCAGACCTTTGCAAATTAAATGTTTTTTCTGCTGATGTGAGTCATCTTTTTTTTTCAAATGGCAGAATTTAAAGACATTACACTGTCGAAGTGGCTGTTCTATGGGGCTTCATCGGCTTCAGAAATTGAACATACGCACACAAAAACGTGCGTACGCCTCTCTTCCAGATGTGAAATTTATAATTCGCAAATGATCTTGAAATTGTGCGCAGCTGAATTGTTTCAGATCCTAATTAATGTCATTAACATAAAAATACGAGCACCAGTCAACGTCCAAATCATTTAAGTTTCAAGTAGTAAAATTTGCGTTAGATTTCCAAATACCTGCAGTACTTTGACTCTGCCACAAGGAAAGTGTGTACGTCTGCTTAGACCCAGACGTGGTGCTAAGCACTTATCCACGTTAAAGACCGTTTTTATAAATATGAACGTTGCCTTTTTTTTTTCTTCTTCTTTTTTTTTTTTTGCGTAAGCACACTAAGTTCAAATCTGAGCGTACGCACGTATTATAAATGAGGCCCTTAGAGTCAATAAGGAAAATACACAAGGGAGAGTTCTGGAAACTCAAATCTCGTCTTTTCTTTAATAATGAAACAAAATACAAAAGAACTGAGGTTACAGTGGAACACATGACTTCAACATTAATCTTAGTTATTGACTTTCTGTGAACACAAAAACATATTGTCATGAAAAGGAGGGCATCACAAATGGCTGCAACACAAGATGTTTTATATTTTTTGTTTTGTTCTTGAATCCCAGCTTATGTTGATTGGGAAATGTGTGTATCTTTTAAAACTTCACACTGATGACGTCACAACAGTCACTGATAAAGGGTTAGGGGTAACTGTGGAAACCGTAGATGTGTTGGTCTTGTCCAAGCGTAAGTGTAAAGCACACAAATCAGCCTTCAGGAAATCAGGTCTTAAGCCTGGGTTAAGCTTGGGTTAGTTCACCCAAAAAAGAAATTTCTGTTATAATTTACCCTCATTTTGTTCTTAACCTGTTTGACTGATTTTCTTCTGTGGAACAGAAAAATAAATTGTGAAAATGATGGCAGAAATAAACAATTTCTGTTTTGGGTGAACTATTCCTGTCATCAAGGACAAGTCAGGTGGAATAGAAAGAGTGGTTCCTCATCTGACCTTGCTTCCATTTATCCGGTTCTTTGTGGAACATGACAAGGAAACTACAGGTTAGAGAGGCTGTAATACTTCCAATCTAGGCTGTGCTATCCAACAGAGGTATAGGGAGTGTCACTGTGGTAGTTGTAGTCTGGGCAGACCTTCTGTACTAGCTTGTAGTCTGCACTGAAGAAGTCAATGTAGATGCAGATGACCTTGAAGGGCTTGGAGCAAAGCCAGGAAACATGGCTTTGGGTCTGCTCCTGGAAGCATACCCTGTTCGGGAAGTCGCTGCAAACAGACGTCCTCTTGCTGCGGTCCGTCTTCTCGTATTCCACTCGACAATTGAAGGCCTTGTTGTCTTTAGGTACCTCTATGGTTTCCTGTTGAGTGATCTCAAAATCGACAGCCTTGGAGGGCGGGACCAGACTGACGGACACATTACCCAGGCCGGTGGAATTGTGGCGGAAATATACGCTGAAGGTTCCGTTGCCGTGGTCAACAATCTTCCCAGTAATGAGAAGGTTGAGCTTGACCGTTTTGATGTTTGAATGGAAGTCGCCCCAACCAAACATTTTCTTAAACTTGCCTGTTTTCACATAGGGACGACGTTTGGCCCTCGAGAGGGTTCCTTCGGTATCAGTGTGGTTGGATAGCCAAGCCCAAAGATCCAGCGCCCCAGGGTCCGGAGCAGCTTCACGGCTCTGGCTGTTAGATTGGGATGTGTGGGAGAAGAGCCGCAGGGATTTGAGAATCCCTGAACGAGAGCCGTAAGAAGAGACACTTTCCTCCTTATCACTCTCTCCCCAACCCAGAGGACTGAGCTCCGTGCCACATGTCACCTTCAAAGACAAAACCAGGAAGAGGACTGTTAACCGTAAAGGTTGTAGATGCTTATGTATATTGAGAAAAATAAAGATTCCAATTCAAACCAGTGGTTTATCTCAAAGTATATATGAAATGACATTCACAACCCACTCTATTTCCATAAGGTGACCTATTTCTGTGGGTCTATCCATTGAGAATTAATTGGCATTTCAGGCACCATTTGGGTTTTCTTAGTTTGCTACTGGAACCCTTTGGAGAAATATCCTAGTGTGTACTCGAAGGAACTTTCCCTTATGATGGGGTTGCTGGAGGTACCGATGATAGTGTTCAGAGTTCTTGCAGGAACTGGTTTCCATTTTGAAGGTTCCTAAAGGAAACTGCCCTTTTCGAACTTGAGGTTCTCCAAAGGGTTCTGCCAGTGTATCAATCTGAGGAACCCCAAATAATGCCTCACGCATCTTTACATGAAAAATTATAATTACATACCAAACTGTAAAAAAAAAGAAAAGATATTTAAGGGACCATTATATCAAACCAGAAAAAATGCTCTAGGAAGCAAAAAAAGCTTTTTAGGGTGCCTCAAATATCCAGACCAGAAATGTGTATTAAGAACGAAATTTTGATTTCAAGTTGCATGTAAGCATAAAAAAATATATATATATTTAGATTCAGTGAACATTAGGTTATTAAGATTTTAAAATACCATAAACTGATGTGCATGTCCACATTCACACCTCAGATGCAAAATTATAGATGAATATCTAGTATAACATGAATAAAACTACAGCTAGTACATAACGATGCATCACTACATAAATGATCAGTACATAAAGGATGAGAAACTGAAAGCTGCATCTGCCTTGTTTAAATGATGCAAACAGGATGTAACATCTTGAGTATGAAACTGTTCCCTGCAATGTGAGTTTACTACTGACATAATAAACTCCCTCACACACCCGGCAAAACTGGTTCTTAAAAAACAACCATGACTTCTACCAGCTCTTTTAGTCTATAGTTTCATATTAGTAATACAGCCAATCAGTGTGTTTACTTTTTTGTACTGTTGATACGGTGAAATATGAATGAACAGAAAACTGCACAGAAAAGACCAAAGGAGGAAGATCAGGTAAATCTCCTTCTCTCTATCTCTCTATCTTTCAGCAAAGCTCAAAAGACTCTCTCACACATACTTTCAAAAGCATAATTTGATAGAATGAAAGTGTATATATGTCCCAAAAGGCTGTTTATCTCCCCAAGTATATATTCAGCTTTCTCCAGCATTTCTCTTTCATGTTCAGAGATAAAGAACCAAAGCGGGTAGATATTTAGGATACAGATCATCTGTTCTGTACACCTCAAAATTCAAACCCATGATGGTGAATGAGACTATACTTCTGTGCATGAAAAAAATCTGTCTACTTCAATAGAGTGCAAATTCATGATCAACAAAACAACAACAAAAAACGACTGACATTCACTGCCGAAAAGAAAAGACAAGAAATGGAAGGTGTTTTTTTCTTCTTCTTTTTTTCCAAAAATAATTAACTGGTTAATTTATCATAAATCTCTGTGGAAAGAAAATGTAAAAAAAAAATTATTATACTTAAAATTTGAATTAGAGTTTAGACTTGTACTTAGTAATAGTAAATACATTTGATTACAGTTGAATACACATGAATAAAGAGAAATAAACATGATAAAATCTAGCTTAGTGATGGCAATGAAAGAGAAGTCTCTTGAGAGGACTTAAGGCTAAGCCATCACACAGGTTGTCATTTCATCTTAAACTGGCTTAAACCGGATTCTAAATTAAACTCTGCATAGGCTTTGTGAAGTCAATTCTTATGCATTCAAATTAATCTTTGGAGAAAAAATAATTACGCACACATTGTGTTCTCCTTTGAGAAATAAACAAAACTGATGGATAAAGGGCCCTGCGGAAACTGGATTATTTGAAGTTTTATACAGGAAATTAGATAAACAGCCACACAGCATATTCTAAAGGCATATTTGGATTATACAAAATGTTTTGACTTTCCAATAAAACTACAATAATTTAAAAAATAAATAATTTTTATTTATTTATTTTTAAATTCATACCCGTTTTCTCAAAACAAAACAAAAATACTTTTTTAAAAATAGCTCAACAAATGATAGTTATAGAAATAGAAGTATAAGTTGCAGTGCTAATAATAACGATGATAATAATACACAATGTATTTTTCCATCTCTCACCTTGTAGACTGAGAGAATAAAAGGTTCATTAACTTTGGCAAAACAAATTCTGCAAATGTTTGCTTTAATTAAAAGAATTGAAATAAAACTCATACCATGTGTAAGCAGAGCATAAGCAGGGCAGAGTAACACTGGCACATCTTCATGTATTTTATGAGTCCAGATCTGGGTTAATAAAGATCAGATCCACTCGTGGCAGGGTCTTGAGTCAGTATGCCTAAAAACACAAAAAACATCATGCTTAAAGATACGAGGACATATGTGTTGAGAACAAACAACAGATAAGAAGAAATGGTCAAACTTTACACTACATCATGTAACGGTGTAATTATTTTAGCATGTCATTAAAAAAATAACAGGTTAAAATGTATATGAATGTATAAAAGAAAGCACACATTATAAGCGGTCAAGTTTACTGGTTATAACCATTTTAATCGCCTTGTAACTTTTTTGCAGATCCCGTGGTGTGAAAAATAAATTTTAAAACTTACAAACTCACCATGTAGTCTCTCAAATAAAATGGTCATAAAACATGTTTAATAGAATTACAATTATGTTGTTTGAATTAGATTTAAATGATAAAACACTGCAGGAAATAACTACTGAGCAATATTAATGAACAAGCAGTTATTTTAAGAAGATGCTTGTGGTTATTCTTTATTGTAATTTTATCACATAAAATAGGTGCAAAGAAAAATAAAGTGTTAGCAAATTGTATTTAATATTATTCATCTGTTTTAGTATAACTCACCCTTCTACTGTAGAGTTGGACCCATACATCTCTGTGCGGTGAGCATCCTTACAGTGTCGTTCACAGATTGCATAAAGAGGGGATGAAAGACGAGCATCGCTCCTCGACGGTCCAAACTCAAAGTGACCCGCAATAAAAACTTTTTTTGCATTTGATTAAAACAATATAATCTTCTTCTTTACTCAGCGTGGCTTATGTCCAGCAGCATTAAATCCTCTTAGCTCTGCTCATCTGGCTGCATGCCTTTCCTCTGCAACACTCACATATCCTAACACGATTATGTGTGGATGTGATTGTCCATCCAAAAGGAAAACAAATAATAAAACTGCTCTCTAAGCAGTCCCCTGGGTAAACGTCCGCTTCTGCTGCATTCTTGCCCGCTCGCTCTTCCTAAACTGATGTTGTGTGATGGATCAGTGCGCTTTTGGGTTGTGACAGTGGAGTCACTGAGCCCAACCCCTCAACATCAGGACCAATAACGGCACACATCACAGTTTCAAGCTTTTTTATGTAAACCCGTTTAAAACCACTAAGTGTAAAGTCAGTGTTAAGAAGCACTTTGTTGGTTCATAAAACAGCAGAAGACTTGCCTTGTGGGCAGAGTTTATATTTTTGTGATAAAACTGCTATTCAGAAGCATTTCGGCTCATTTTTCGTCATGACACTGCAAAAAAAATTTATATTAAGATTTTTTTATATATATATATATATATTGGGGAGACTGGTAAAATTTCAGTGAATATTTCTCAGGGTGGCTTTAGTTTTGATAATTAGTTTCTGTATTGACAAAAACCTGATATGTCTTGGTAATAAAAAGCTATTAAACAAAAATAAAATATAAATAAAATAATGACCAAAATAAAAATGAACATACGTTTCCCTTACTCCACATAGTGTGCTACTGGATCATGTTGTCACACTATATAGGCTAAGTTAATTACAATAATTAAAAAAATATATGAAAGAAAACACCAAAAATGCACAAAAAAAATAATTACTCGCATACATTCAAACATTTAAATCGTATAAAAACTCGCCCCGACCTTTATGGAAATTACCGGTTAAATTACTTTTTGTGCTGTTTTGTTTTATTCAACAGCTATTACACAAATATTATACTGGAATTTACATTTGAGGAGGTATAACTGCTAGTGAAAACACACATTTATATAATTTAACCTTTGACAAAGCCTACACCTATCTATATATTACATTCAATTATATATAATTTACCATTTTACATATATTAACAATTCAAATGAATTCAATACAGAAAACAAAACTAAATTGCTGGGTATGAAGGATAGATATACATGTATAGATATGTATCCATTTAAAACTACTGCGAGATAAAAGTTTTGGTTGATTCACAAAAAAATTGAGAAATAGGAAGTCCTGCATTTTTGCACAAACATGTTAGATGTCAAAACATCAAATTAAACAATTACAATTAAATTGGTTCAAGAAACTAAAATGACAAAAAAAAATGCGCGTTTGCTTGGAAACAGCTCCGCTCTGTGGTTATTACAGCGACTGCAGGTCAAACCACTGCGGAATTAACATCAGACGAACAGATGTGTTAATGCAAGATTTATTTACTCATGCATATGCCAATGCTACAACACAAATAAAGGAGCAATAAAATAAATATTAGCAGATTTTTTTCAGAGATCACATCTATTAATTTAAAGTAACAGAAGAAATTGAACTTGATAGCAGCAATGCAAGTCTTCAATTTTACAAGACAACTACCAGAACGAATTACAAAACTCCCATAGACACTCATTTGCAGGATTCTTTAATAATCTGGTTCTGATTTTTCACCATTGTGGCTAACATGGACTTGAAGTTTGGCTTCCGTACGGCAGGTTTTGTATCACCAGAGGCAGAGACTTTCTTCTGGTTCCCTCGTTTAATCTTAGGCTTCACGTTGAAGAGATCTGTGGGCGTCCTGAACCCTTCCGAATCCTCAAACAACTCTTCCCGCTGCTCATGCTGGAAAACATTCTGGGCTTCACGACTCTCTCCACGTTCCTGCTGCCGCCGCCGAGGGCTTTTCCTTTGTTCCGCAGTTTCCACAGCAACAGTTTCAGGCGTGTCATCAAACTTCAGCACCCGCCGCGTTACGTCTATGCCATCAGACGCGTCCTGCTTGTTCAATTTGCCCTGGACAAAAGTCCTCCTCTGTTTGCTGGGGGCATCTGAGTTCTGCTTGTGATCTGCATTTAATCTTGAAATCTGGTCATCTACAATCAGTTTGTCGTCCTGTGTCACGCTGACACTGAGGTCGAGTGGATAAAGCTGCTGAGATAATGTGTCATTCATGGAAGACTTTCTTTTCACCGAAGATTTCCACCCTCCAACGGGTGGCCAGAGCACAGCTCGAGGCCTCTTACGATGACGTGGCTTTGCTTTGGTGATGGACAGGTCAGTCTGAATGCAGGTCAGATACTTGCAGCGACGCAGACTTCTAAACATATGCACACAAAATGACTTTACTTACCACTGAAATAATTGTAATGGGGTATTTACAATGTTACTATTGTAAGTTACATTGTGCTTACATAAAAAGTTGGGAGATGAATCGAGTTTGCATTATGTGCACTTTTAATGTGCATCCAGGTTTGCTTGATTATCACATTCGCTAATTAGAATGATTTCTGATGGATCATGAGACACTGAAGACTGGAGTAATGACTTATGAAAATTCAGCTTTGCCATTACAGGAATACCGGTAAGTCACATTTAAAAAAAAAAAAGTATTGGTGAGCATAAAAGACTTCTTTCAAAGACCCCACATTTTTGAACGGCAGTGTATATACTGTATTAATTTATTCAAAAACTGGGTTAGAAAAACCCAAGATGAATGGGAAATAGGTTGCAAGCCCAACATCGCTGAGGTGGAACACAATGAGATCTCAGCTCAAGATCAGGGGCAGTTTGACTTTCAGTGATTCTGATAATAAATGACTCATATTGACTCACCTCTGCTGAAACACATGAGGTCTGGAGCAGTTCACTTGAGTTCTGTTGAAGACTGCAGAATCTGAGCTTTGTGCTGACAGCTTCCTGATGTGACTCAGGCTTTTCCACAATAATCTGAAGATCAACATTCACACAATTCTCATGAAACCTAAGTAACGGGATTATTAAAGGTATAATGCAAGGTGGCCTTTTAATAAAACCTGGCAGTCTATGCCAGTCTAGGAGCCGTTTTTTGCCTTATTTGAAAGTTAATTGTGTTAGTTTTTGTTTTCTTGAGATGCGCACCGTCTGCAGAACAGGAGAAGCTTTAAGGTCTGGGTGTGTCTACTGGACTGTGGCCTGCTGGGAGCACATTGCATGAAGCCGGTTTCAGTAGCTACCCAGGTAAGTTTGCGATTAGTTTGAGCAAACTCAGTTTTTTCGGGCTCAAGAAGGTGTATTTGGTTTTTAGCAGGCTTCATCCCCATGGTAAATTACGCTACACGGTTAACCTGCTTCGTTTTATTCTGGGTTAGAGGTCGCAGACCAAAACTGGACCAATCAGCTGAGAGTAAAGTGGCATGTATCTATGCAATAAAGCCACTCCCCCTGTATCTGCTCCAAATTAAAGCAGCTAAGAGTCAAAGAATTTAATTAGGATTTTTCTGCTAATTAATTATTTTATTTACATTAAATGAATTGTATTTATGTATCATTCATATATGCATATACTTATTACAATAATTCACATTGTACATTTATATGTACATACATATAAATATGTATAAATGCAAGCTTTAAAATATAAGCTTTTAAACAGATTAAGCTTACATGTATTCTTTTGTGAAACTCTATAAATTATAAGGCCTATTTGTTTGATACACTTGATATTTTCTTTCAGCTGCCTTCCCAAACTTTTGCTGCAGCGGCAGTGTTTATTCCTGCCATGTAAATTAATTTAATTTCATGATATTTTTTCATGATCTCTTAATCTTCTGCAGAGAAGTGAATTGTGCCGGCTCTCTCGCAAGAAGAAAATCAACTTGACTCTCCATGTTCGGTGTGATTGGCTGTTTGCCTTCAAAGTTAATTGCAAACCCTGGATTAAAACGGAGTTGGTATGAGAATGTTTATATCAAGTGTTGTGAGCCTGTTGAACTTGATCTAAACCAGGTTGGATTTATATGGATTTTTCAGCTCTTAACCTACTCCGAAACTCAGAGTTTGTTCAAATAGCTTCATGCAACAGGCCTCTGGTCTTTAGACTTTGCCTTCTGTTTGTTTGTTTTTCAAAGGGAAACTTTAACAATCTTGTCTTTTAAGATACTGAATGACATTTCTTGACCATTCTTTTTAATGTAAATAGTCTTTCGCTGTCTACTTGTTGTGTCTTTTAGATGTTAAAATCTCATAGTCGTTGTTCTGGGGGGGGGGGGATATTTTTTATAACAGTGTGATATTCATTTCAAACATAACATACCCCTTCTCCCGACGGGGTCTTTGGGGGTGCCACTTCTTAAGCAGAATCCACTCATCACAAGATAAAGACTCTGGATCTAATACACAAAGAAACATATTTTTGGTAACACGATAACAGGCACTTTATATTACACATTAAAGTGATTGTTCACCCAAAAATGAAAATTCTGTCATCATTTACTCACCCTTAAGTTGTTCCAAACCTGTATGAGTTTCTTTCTTCTGAATGTTGGGAACCAGACAGTTGACTGTAGCCATTGACTTCCATAGTATTTATTTTCCCCTGCTATGGAAGTCAATGGGTGCCGTCAACCGTTTGATTACCAACATTCTTCAAAATATCTTCTTTTGTGTTCAACACAAGAAACTCATACAGGTTTGGAACAACTTGAGGGTATCTCAACACATCGAAAATGCTTACTCCTATCTCTGCTTTTCTCTTTTAGGGTCGGCTGTCTTCTCATCTTGGCGAAAAGACTCTCGCATTCTTTGCATCTTATGGTATCAACAGGATGACAGGGCGAGCTGGGACCCGATTCCACCATGAGATCAGTGTTGGATTCGTCCAATACAGACTCTTCTCGAGATTCAGCAGAGCTTCTCGGCCTCAGCTCAGAGTCAGAGGTGTTAGCCATCACCCTTAGCTTTCCTAGAGTGTCCTCAGCCATTGCACCTGGAGCCAGGGTGATCTTCTGAACGGCTCCATATTGCGGTTTCACAATGGAAAGCGCCCTCTCGTCTTCTTTACTCAATCGGCATGATGCACCAGCTCTACTCTTCTTTATCGGACGCTTCATATCATGAATAACAGACACATAGTCTTTTATTTCTTCAACACTGTTTGATTGGCTAGAGTCGGTGTCATTTAACACCACAGAGATGCTCTCGTAGACCTTCTCATGTTCTCCCTGTTGCTGTCGACCTCTCAGGGCTGTTTTGCGCCGCAGTTTCATAGAGACAGATTTCTTTATTTCTTCAACACTATTTGATTGGCTAGAGTCGGTGTCATTTAACACCACAGAGATGCTCTCGGAGACCTCATGTTCTCGCTGTTGCCGTCGACCTCTCAGGGCTGTTTTGCGCCGCAGTTTCATAGGAACAGATTTCTTTATTTCTTCAACACTGTCTGATTGGCTAGAGTCAGAGTCCCTCAACACCACAGAGATGCATTCGGAGACCTTCTCATGTTCTTGCTGTTGCTGTCGACCTCTCAGGGCTGTTTTGCGCCGCAGTTTCATAGCGACAGATTTGATAGTGACCTCACAGAGAACTAAGATATTCACCTGTGATAAAATCAAATCAAATAACAGTTTAACAAACAACAACATATACTGACATAATACGTTAACGTTACATGACTTAAGTATAAAACCTCTTCCAGGTAATTGTTTCTGACTGATTAGGGTGATTTCTACCTCACTGTAGCATCCTGACTCTTGTCTTTGAGGAAAGTTAGTGAGGTTGTTGTAGCATGCCCTGAAAACATTAATGGTAATCAGTGACTTTATGACTAACTAACGTTAGTCACCAAAAGTTTTGGCTGACTGCAAAACAACATAAAAATAGCACATTTGACATAAAACTGACATAATATAAAAGCTACTAAGTATAAAACCTTTTAACTTAATAGTTTCTGACTGATTAGGGTGATTTCTACCTCACTGACCAAAGTTCTGGGTGACTACAAATCCAAAAATCATAAAAGTAGCACATTTGACTAATGCCCCAATTACAATGTTACTAACGTTACATTGTGTACTGTACATACAGTAACAATGTACTTAAAATATCTTACAACACTAAATCGCCTCACCTCACAAATAAAAGATTGTTATTTGTAACGTTAACTTACTCTGTTCGCGTTTTGGTTTAACGTTACTTGATTGTCTCGTGAGGTTTTGGTACAAGTTGAATGACTAGAATAAAAAAATCAAACACATTTCTTACTCTCTCTCGAAATGTCGATAGTCCATTTGTTCTAACATATCAAGGGACTTCTAAATGGACCGATCCGAAGCGAAAACGCAGCTTTTTTGTTTGTTTACCTCAGAACTGCTGGGCTGTTGGCGCGCGATCGCCTGTCATCATCATCAACCGGAAACTGCAGTTCAGCTCGATCGTCCTTAAGAGGGCGCTGCAGTCTGAGGCTTTTTTTTATTATGATGGCTTGAGAAAGTATAGTTCAAAAATAAAATCACAATAAGGTATTCCATTCACATACTGCTTAGCTTTTAAAGATAATATGTTTTTTAAATAACTGTAAATGTATACTCTTAACTTAGAATATTCCTAATTACTTTTAAAAAGTGTCCGACGATACATAGCATAGATTATAACCAGAAAAATCCACAACATACAGCCAGGAAGTCATGGTTAATTAAATAACTCAATTTCATTTGTCTGTTGTCATTCAAATGCTTAATGGCGTCTAAAATACAGTACCTTTCAAAAGTAATAATTCTACATAAAGTTTAAACATTAGTAAATCGGCCAAAACTCACACATACTGTCAGTGTCCATGAAAAAAAACTTCAAATGCCCTTTTGCTTTTCAAATGTCACAGAACGAAACATACAACAAAAACTAAAACATTTTTCGCAAATGAAATTATTTGATCCATCATATTTCTCTTGATTTTCTCCATTAACTGTCCCCCTATAAAATGAATAAAAATAGATTTGTGATATGCACCTATCCTATGTATTAACCTGTTTTCAGTTCACTAAATAATGATTCAAATGTCTAATTTGCCAGTTTACCTGTGCAAAAAAAAAAAAAAAAAATCCTTGAATTGCACTTGCTAGGCTTTACCATGAGTTAGAAGAATGTTGCATATTCATGAAAAGAACAGACTATAATTTCATTTTTCACATGATTCTCAGAGGTATTACATTTTGTAATGCCTGTATGTTTACTGTATGATTCTTTGAATAAGAAGAAGCAGTTAAATAACAGATTACATAGTACTTTTATAATGTAATAAGGTATAAGATATTGCTAGGAGGAAAACAAAAGTCTCAAAGCTTACAGAAATACAACACAGTTTTCTTTAACTAGAGACAGAGTACAGATCACCAGAACTGGCCTATAGACATTCAATTTAAGCTCCAATTTAAATTAAATAAAACACATTTCTATGAACATAAAATGATAAATGCTTTAAAATTAGTTAGCAAACCAACCAAAAAAGATACTTAAAATGTCCAGATTTAAATTTATTATATATTAATTATTTTAGAGTTATTTGCATTTTACAGTTCTTAAATATAATTGTATACTTCAAACACAGAACAGCACAGTGGTCCATTTCCTACAGTCTGTTTGTTTGTTTCAAAACCTATCCTGTGATATTTCAGTGGCTTCCCTGTGGATGCTTGTCCTTTGCTACCGAACTGAGGTCAACTGATTTTTCTCACTGTTAGATTAAATAAAACCGTTCAAAGATCAGTCCAGAAGGTCACAGATTTTCTGGGAACTGCAGTCGTTACTGCATTAGACAGCTGCTGCTTGGCAGGAAGTCTTGAACATATGTGACCACAGCCTTGGAAAGATAAGTCATCGTACCATAGCTGCCGCTAGGAGCACTGTCATAAAAGAAGTTGCAGATTCCTGTGGCAGGATCTTTCTCCAAGAAATACTCATTGGCTCCGTTGGATCTCTGCAATAAAAACACATATGCAACAGTGACCTGATTGTGCAAAGCTGGAATCTGGACAAAAGAAGGCCACTTTGATGTAAGTGTTTAACTTTTTTCATCAGTAAATCATTTCCATAATTCTATTTGTGTTATTTCACAGTTTTGATGACATTAAGGGGGACCTATTATGCCATTTTTCAAAGTCTTGATGTTGTTTTTGGGGACTTCCAGAATAGGTTTTCATGCTTGAATGTTCAAAAAACACATTATTTTCCCACATAGTTTACATTGTTGCAGCACCTCTCTTCCCAGTCTGTCAGTAATGCTCTGTTTAGTTCCTGTCTCTATGAAGCCCATCCTTCCGAAAAGCATAATTTACTCTGATCTGGTTGGCTGGACCGTCATTGGTCAACTGCTTTCAGAGTGTTTTCGGAAAATGTGGCACCCCTTACCATAACCGCAAGTTTCAACAATCTACAAACGCAAATGAAACAGGCCTCGCCCCCCTTTTTTGCATATGCTTTGGGCGGGAATTATTTAAATGAGGAATATTGTGATGTGTACGTTCCCAGAAGAAAACTCAAGACTACAATCATGGCGTTTGAGGGAGTTCAGAAACAGTGCGCACTGCTATAGAGAATAACTCCCTTTGGAGAAGACTTTGTGCTTTGTAACTTTGTAGACCTTTTTCATGCTCAAACATCAACATTACACACCAATGAATGTACAAAGTATAATAGGACCCCTTTAACATTATGCTATAATATAGAAATTAAAATAGTAATGATAAAGAACAAGCAGGGAGTACATACCATGTGAACAAACCAAGCAGCATTTAATGAGCGTCCTATGATTACACGTAACATATATATATATATATATATATATATATATATACACTCACCGGCCACTTTATTAGGTACCCCATGCTAGTAACGGGTTGGACCCCCTTTTGCCTTCAGAACTGCCTCAATTCTTCGTGGCATAGATTCAACAAGGTGCTGGAAGCATTCCTCAGGGAGTTTGGTCCATATTGACATGATGGCATCACACAGTTGCCGCAGATTTGTCGGCTGCACATCCATGATGCGAATCTCCCGTTCCACCACATCCCAAAGATGCTCTATTGGGTTGAGATCTGGTGACTGTGGAGGCCATTTTAGTACAGTGAACTCATTGTCATGTTCAAGAAACCAATTTGAAATGATTAGAGCTTTGTGACATGGTGGAAGTAGCCATCAGAGGATGGGTACATGGTGGCCATAAAGGGATGGACATGGTCAGAAACAATGCTCAGGTAGGCCGTGGCATTTAAACGATGCCCAATTGGCACTAAGGGGCCTAAAGTGTGCCAGGAAAACATCCCCCACACCATTACACCACCACCACCAGCCTGCACAGTGGTAACAAGGCATGATGGTTCCATGTTCTCATTCTGTTTACGCCAAATTCTGACTCTAACATCTGAATGTCTCAACAGAAATCGAGACTCATCAGACCAGGCAACATTTTTCCAGTCTTCAACTGTTCAATTTTGGTGAGCTCTTGCAAATTGTAGCCTCTTTTTCCTATTTGTAGTGGAGATGAGTGGTACCCGGTGGAGTCTTCTGCTGTTGTAGCCCATCCGCCTCAAGGTTGTGCGTGTTGTGGCTTCACAAATGCTTTGCTGCATACCTCGGTTGTAACGAGTGGTTATTTCAGTCACTGTTGCCCTTCTATCAGCTCGAACCAGTCTGGCCATTCTCCTCTGACCTCTGGCATCAACAAGGCATTTCCGCCCACAGAACTGCCGCTCACTGGATGTTTTTTCTTTTTCGGACCATTCTCTGTAAACCCTAGAGATGGTTGTGCGTGAAAATCCCAGTAGATTAGCAGTTTCTGAAATACTCAGACCAGCCCTTCTGGCACCAACAATCATGCCACGTTCAAAGTCACTCAAATCAACTTTCTTCCCCATACTGATGCTTGGTTTGAACTGCAGGAGATTGTCTTGACCATGTCTACATGCCTAAATGCACTGAGTTGCCGCCATGTGATTGGCTGCTTAGAAATTAAGTGTTAACGAGTAGTTGGACAGGTGTACCTAATAAAGTGGCCGGTGAGTGTATATATATATATATATATATATATATATAAAAAGTATGATGATACCTGATCCAGCTGAAAGAGATCATTGGCCATGTGGACAATGCGGTCGATGTGAATAATTCCACCAATACTGGGAATCTCCATGTCGGCCACAAGCATCAGCACCATAATGGCCTCCACCAGCAGCTGTCTGTACTCAGGCTGTGGGACATGATTCAGTACAGACTCCACGTGCACTGCAAACTTAATCTCTCCCTCTGTCATCTACAATAATACACACAGACAACGTACACATGGTTATGGGTATTTCAAGAAAAATTCCAGATTCATGTTTCAATATAATATAGCAATCTAAAATATAAAATAAATATATAAATACTGTTCAAAGGTTTGGGGTTGGTTCGATGTTTATCAAATAAGTCTTCTTTTGTCATATTGTGAGACATTATTTTATTTAAAATAACCGGTTTCTATTTGAATGTATTTTAAAATGTAATCTATTCCTGTGATGGCAAAGTCGAATTTTCTTGAGCACAGATTTAGTGCTTAAGAAACATTTCTTCTTATTATTAATGTTGAAAATGCTTAATATTTTTGTGGAAACCGTGATGCTTTTTTCCCCAAGATTCTTTGATGTTTAGAAAGTCCAAAAGAACAGCATTTATTTGAAACAGAAATCTTTTGTGGCATTATAAATGTCTTTACTATCACTTTTAAACAATTTAATGCATACTTGCTGAATAAAAGTATTAATTAAAGGGGACCTATTATGCAAAATTCACTTTTACATGGTATTTGAACATAAATGTGTGTCGGCAGTGTGTGTACACAACCACCCTGTAATGGTAAAAATCCACCCACTCCTTTTTTTTAATCCGCATAAATCATAGGAAGTGTCTCAGAACAAGTCTCTATCTATCTATCTATCTATCTATCTATCTATCTATCTATCTATCTATCTATCTATCTATCTATCTATCTATCTATCTATCTATCTATCTATCTATCTATCTATCTATCTATCTATCTATCTATCTATCTATCTATCTATCTATCTATCTATCTATCTATCTATCTATCTATCTATCTATCTATAAGCTGTACAGTCTGCCATGTTGATCTTCTCGCCAGAGCATTTAACAGCAGCAAGCAAGAAATGTTTTCTTATTAAAGATACTATAGTTATTCAATCAAGAGCAGTGAGTGGTTTTCTGTTTTTGGTTGTTTGATTTATATTAACAGTATAGCAGAATGTACTGTGTATTACGCTGTGTATTACGCTTCCACACAGATCTAATATATTCCACTCAAAAATGATATAATAAATGATCTGTGGGGTATTTTGAGCTGAAACTTCACAGACACATTCTAGGGACACCTGAGACTTATATTACATCTTGTAAAAATGTGCATAACAGGTCCCCTTTAAAAAAAAACT